TGCTGAGATATGCTCGTTTTTTCAAAAAGCTGAGTCTTGACAATTGGATATCGGATAGTGGTAAAGGGAGCCATTGCTACTACATGTAGTGTCCTATTGTTTCCCTACGTATACGCATCCCTAATTAATAAGCCTACAGGAGCTTTCAGAAGCTATTGCAGTTTGTTGTGCAAATATAATAATGTATTTAAAATTCACGTTCAGAACACTTAACTAATGTAGCTAGTAAAAAATTAATACCAGCCAGTAGTGGTCATTTTAATCTCAGTTACTTTTTCCTGTACCTGTACTTTAATGTTATTGAAGTAAGCCTGTAAAGCTGGCAAACTACTTACACGGCAACTTGTATTCTTAGCACAAGCACATTGCAGAAGCCAGTAGCTTTTTTTTCCTTGTGGCCCAACAAAGCAAATTGGTTTTCCCCAAAACCGTAGAACATCCTGCTTTTTAACGCAAGTTCTTCCCCACCCAACCCACAGCCAATTCGTCAGGAACACAGCTATTTCTGGACTGGTTTTCTTCCCGTCCTTTAAGTGGCAGGTAGTCTAGGGCAGCAGTCATACAACATAAAACCTCAGTCTAGTGCTCCAGCCCCTTTATGGCTCCTGCAGCAAGTACAACTGCAGACAATACCGCAGACCGCTGTGGTTTGAATCGCCACATAAAGGATTATAAGAAAGGGATTACACAGCTCTTGATAGAAAGAAGTTTGTCGTTGTAGCCCAGTTCCTCCTTTCCACCCCTGCAGAGTGCGATGGCACGTGGTCGGCTAAAGTTCTGCTGACAGTGCCAGATCGTTAATTTACATTTGTGTTTGCAACAAATACCTGAAGAATTGAAGCTCTAATGGACCGTGAATGATTTTTGTTTCAGAGATTGGGTCCACCAAATACGCTGCATTTGCTAGTCAGAGATGTGAAAAAGGTAAGCTTAACCAACAGCAGCACTACATTTTCAGGATTATGTTCAGCATGTGAGTCAACAGTAAAAGCAAGCTTAGCAGGAGGGAAAGCAGAGATTTGAAATTAAATGCTAGCTGTTAAGAAAAGGAATGTTAAACTACTTCTTGTGACACAATGATTTTAGTCCAAATCTGGTACGGCTGTACTTCACTGGTAGTCATTTAAAAAGTAAGGGAGGAGAGTTAAGCTTTGGGTTGATGCTGTTTCTTCTCTAGCAGAAGCTCCCAGTGCAGCATTACAGAGGAGGAGTGGAAGGAAAGGCCTGCTAGGTTAACTGGAAGACCCATCAGTTACAGAGTTTGTTCTCTTTTGTCTCCTTGTGTGTGTTTTCATTCCTTTCCTCCCATCAGTCTTTCAACCTAAGAGAAAATGCGTTCTGTTTCTCAGAGCTACAAGTCCTAAATTCGTTCTTCATTTGTTTCCATTACATGTGAATTTGTTCATTATTATGTGAATAGGGTCACGGTAAGATTTGTTGTTGTATTTGCTCTCTTTTTTTGGAGCTTTTATCCAGTAAAATTCAGCTACATGAAATAGCTTGTATTCCTTTTAACAAGAAAAAATCCCATTTATTCCCGGGAGGTTTGGATGTGGGAATTACACAGTACTGGGTTAATGTATAATTCATATTGATCTGTTTAACACTTTTCTCAGTCTGTGTTTGTCTTTCTGAGTGTTACTAATGCTCTTCTTCCTTCTGCTTTCTGTCTGTCTCTCCTCCTTCTCATTGCATTTTCATGGCTCACCCATTCAGCGGCAGTCACGGGGATTCGGTTGGGTTAACATGGAGGTGATGTGTTTGCTTAGGATGTAGCTGGTTCCTCATAGCAGCTGCTGTAGAATCTGTTATTGCTGTAGGATGTAGCTTGAACAACGAAGCAGGTTTTAGTTTATGGTTCTGGCAGAGCCAATAGCACTCTCCAGTTTTTAAGTGGAAATTATAATCTCCCTTTTTCTTTGATTCTGGGCTGCACGTTAGTCTAAATCATATTGTGCGTTGTAGTCTTAACTCTGTAGATAATATGATGTAATACAGGTTTGCATAAAGTGTAAAGAATGCCTAATATTCACTGTGAAATGATGTCATGCTTTTATACCGGATTAATGATAATCAGTACAAAGTTATTTGATGTCATCAACATAAGCTTTGCAAACAACTCAGGCTTGTATGGACGCTGACGTATTGTACAAGTAAATCAAATGAAAATTTGTCCTCAACTATAAGTACTGCCAACAACAAACCAAAAAAAAAATCTGGCCCCCAAAATTATTCAGTGTGTGAATCGGTTATCATTAATCTCGTACAAATATTAAAAGACTGAAACCAGTGGCTGGACATAATACCAGTGTGCCGATTTAATCGTGACATGCCGTGTCTAGCCCAGCAATTTAGTGTGTGTTACCTTTTTTTTTACCCTAAGTCCTTATTTTGTGGTTGGTTTTTGTTTCTGTTTTCTTGGTAGGGAAATCTTCCACCAGATTACCACATCAGCCTAATAGATATCGGTCTTGTACTTGAGTATCTCATGGGCGGAGCTTACCGCTGCAACTATACTCGAAAAAGTTTTCGGACTCTTTATAATAATTTATTTGGACCAAAGAGGGTAAGAACGAGTTCATCCAGGATGTAGCCGTGCTGACGGTAAAAAATAAATAATGCTCTGTTCCTTTTTCGTTATGAAACAGTACATGTTAAGTTCTAAAGAATGCTGCAAGGCGGAAGTTGAAACTCTGATAGTGAAGTTGCAGAAGGAACCTCTAATGCACATTTGTTAAAGGATGGCAGGACCCAAAAGGTGCCTGGAGGAGAATTTCCTCCTCTTTCCGTGGTCAACCCATGCATTGCTAACTGTGCTCTTTGCGTATTTAATCATTCCTACTTGAAGCTGTAGCTCTCTTACAGCTGTAAACTCGTCTTGAGCCGGGCCTATTGATCAAGTAGTTATAACCAACAGTAGCCTTAACTTGGTGAGGCACAGAGTTCAGTCTCAATACAAGTACGCTAAGTCCTGCTCTGAGCCTAAACCTTACCCTGCAGAAGCCCTTCCACAGTCAGGTACTGATCCTGAGAATATCGAGCAGGGCCCTGACTTTGTTAAAAAGTCTGTTCTAAGCAAATGGAGTAATTTTCTTGATTTGCTTATTTATCTGATCGGTTCAACTCTGAAGGTCAAGTGAAGCTTCCCAGCCTAGTTATGGTTAAACCACCCCGAGGAAACACTCGAGGAGAGGAGCCGCGCCCAGCCCGAGTAGCCGTTAGCCAGCACGGAGCACGTGTTTGGTGTAGGGCTGTCTGATGGAACAAACAAATAAACCCTTTACATAAAATATCAAATGGAGATTTTGCAGTAGAACAGAGCGATTTTATTTTTTTAAATGGGAAATCGGGAGAGGTGTGAATGTCTCTTGTATTTTTTACTGTTTCCTGTGGGTATCGTTTACCTTGTTTGTGCTTAGAATTGCGATTTTCTTTGAGTTTTTGTGACCACGTGGTGACTCTCACAGCAGTGTGTTATTGAGTGATTCATTCAACTCTTCCATCTAGATACAAATATTTCACTTAAGTGCAGGATGGAAAACATTTTCTAACCCATTGCCTTCCTGCAAATACAAATTAGAGAAGATTAATTAATTGTACCATTACAGGTACGATTATTTATACTAGTTGCTCTAATAATAAATACTGTACTTTGGTAAATGAAAATGTGGTTTTCCTCGGTAGGGATGAGCCTTTGAATTTTCTCTCCCATCTAACTGATTCTCTTTTCTGTTTTTAATATTCAGCCGAAAGCTCTTAAACTACTCGGGATGGAGGTAAGTTGGATTTACTGTAAAATGCTGGTTTTATTAGAGCGTTTCTTGCTGCAGTCCTGCTCTTGCTCTTAGCCTTTTAGTGGCTTAAAGGAACTTTCAATTAGATGTGATCTTCCGTTTTGCAAACAGTCTATGAAATACCTCTGACTTTTTTTTCTGGGTGGGGTCTTGAGAGGTGCTTAAAGCTTTGCTCGGTAGTCTTCAGGCAGTTTTTAGCACTGTTGCGAGATAACGCGTTCCGTGTTGGAACACATCATACATTGAATCGTTCCGATGTGAACATCGATGATATCGAAAAAAGGATGTGAGCCAGCAGTGCTCCTTGCCGTCAAATCCCCCTTAATCATGAATTAACAATTTATGGGCAGACGAGTTTTTACCATAGAGAAAACATTCAACTGGGGTGAAAAAACAAGGTGGTCTGGCATGTTTAGGTGCTGTCCTCCACCATAAACCATCCTCACAACCGTGACGGCACCATGCTTTGTAAACGATGAAGCTGATCAAGAATTTTGGATCCAATTCCTGCCTCAATTACTTGTGTGTTTGCAGAAATCTTGAACAGATCACAATCGAGTCTGGGACGCTGCGTAAAAACTCACTCTGTTTTGGAGGCGGTTTTTGTTTCTGAAAAAAAAAAGGTATTGATACAGACTAGGAAAGCATTCCCACAAAGAGGCGGGGGACATTTCTCGGTGAAGTATGGTTTTATTAACGCTGTGATAGTGTTTGAACTCAGTATATGTGCATGTTGCTTGTGTTACATTTGAACTATACCCCTGCAGAAAAGCCTCACCAAGCAGATAAGCAGCTTTCTTCTCCACAGAGAAAGTACAGATTATGTTTAATCTCTCTGAGCAGCTTCATATTTTTTAATGGCTTGAGGCCAAGAGCTCAGCCCCGCAGAGGTGCAGCCCCTTTATCATCAGCGGTGATCACACATAGGTTGTTTAGTGCTTCTCCAGAGGCACGTTTTTGTGTTCCTATTTCTTTCAGTAAGAAACATTTCACATGGCACAAACTGAAGTGTCCTCTTCACTTGACAGTGAGTGTAGCCCATGCTCTTGTTTCAAGAGAAAAGGTGAAAAGAAAAATTAAAATTTCTTTTCCTGAAGCAGTCTGTAAATTGATGCAACTCTGGGTGTGGAGTTTTGAGGTTTTTTTTTAATTTCCAGTGTTAGTAGCTCTTAAACAGGAAGTTCAGACTCCTTAGCACTTTGGCTTTCTTACTCAGGGTTCTGTTTTGATTTGATTTTTCTGGTGCAGGGAGGACCAAAACTTAGGTCCTCCCTGCACCAGGAAAATTGAGATTTTATGTCCTGTGCTTCAGAGATGCTCATACTTTCCTCGTGTGCATGCAATTAATGACCCCTGAATATTCTGTAAGAGACAGAGGTCACCACTTGCAGTTCTTAAAACTGCTGGAAGAGAAATGCCTATTTAATTGTTGAGCTGAAGAGCTGATTTTGGAATTGTGAAGTGTCAGGCTGAGCCCTCAATTTGAATTTAAGTTCCTATTTTGTCAAGACGTAGTGCCTTGCGCTGAGCTTGCTTAAACGGGAACTAATTTTGTAGAAGGGTAATTGCTTTTACTTGCAGTTCACTTCTGAGACTGGGATCAAGGTCAACAGTGACGACGAGCTCTACACCTACCTACACGAGCAATGTGCTTCCTAAAGCTAATTTTCCCAATCATGCCTTTTCTCCCTTTAGGATCCTGCTTCATTGTCAATTCTTCCCTTCAGTTCCTGGTAGTAATGGCCTCTCCTCCCTGTCCCTTTAGGAAATGGGATGCTTATACCTTCCGTTAGCACTGCATACATAAGAGGAGATTGCTTATTCGAAGGTGAAGACTCCCTTTAGTACCTGCTGTTCCTAAGGACACTGTCTGCCCGTCTTTTCCATTTGCATGTTACCACTCTCTCCATCTGCATGTCAGTCTGAAAAGCACTTTGATACCTGTAAGATACACAGCACTGCTCTCCAGGAGTAGATGCAGACATGTCACATCAGAAATTACACTGGAACCTATTAATATCCAATTCAGGTTTGTTCAAGCTCCGTGGATGCTGCAGAGAGATTACTTAAATATTATTTCATCGCAAATCCATCTGTGCAGTTACACGTGCCGTAGAGATGTACTTACAACGCAGTGTAAAGTGATGCCTTCACTACAGTAGGGTTCTGCTACGCTTATCCAAGATGGGTGGCTTGTAATGAAGGATGTTCTCAGAATAAAATACTAAGATATGTGTGCTAGGCCAGTGCATGCCCTCTCTCGCGTTCTTCATATTGGCATTCACTGTAGCAAGCAGCAAAACCAGATAATTAATGTGTCCTCTCGATACTTGTTCTGGGCTGGTGCCATGGCCAGGTAAGCTGTTCAGAACTGACGGGGACATTTTTGTCTTCTTTCCTCCCAAGGATGACGAGCCTCCCACCAAAGGGAAGAAGAAGAAGAAGAAGAAAAAGGAAGAAGAGATCGACATTGATGTGGATGACCCAGAAGTCAGCCGCTTTCAGTATCCCTTCCATGAGCTGATGGTATGGGCCGTGCTGATGAAACGGCAAAAGATGGCACTCTTCCTTTGGCAGCGAGGGGAGGAAACCATGGCCAAGGCTCTTGTGGCCTGTAAACTGTACAAATCCATGGCCCATGAGTCTTCTGAGAGCGAGCTGGTGGATGACATCTCGCAGGATCTGGACAACAACTCAAAGTTAGTAGATGCAGAGCAGACTTTATGTCTACTTGATAGAGGGGGTTGTCTGACCTGCTGAGAAGCTTTACTTTTAGTGGAGCGCGATGGGTTTCTAGAATGGAGGTTCACAGAATGCCATTCAGAACCGATTTATCAACAGCAAACAAGCCCAAACGTGGTCTCGGAATCTGAAGGCAATACTAGCGAGACTTGCTTTTTTTTCTGGCAGAACACACTTTTTCTTCAGCTTCTCTCTCTGTAAAACTAGCCAGGTTTATTTCACAAAGTTATTTTCAGGATTTATTCACATAAATCAAGGCCTTTCTGATCTAAACTAGCCTTCAGATGTTATTGGACTAAGCTAATTCTCACTGGTCACTAAAAATTTGTTCAGAACTTTGGCAGACTGTCCCAAATCAAGCTTGCGGCTCAGTTGTTCTTGTCATTGTGCATGTGTGTGGGAAAAAAGCCCTGGTGAACAGAGCTAAAACCCCAAATACAAGCAGACACTGATCTCGAAGTCAAAGTTCACTAGATTTACCTTGCATTTTCCAGGGATTTTGGCCAGCTGGCTGTTGAACTCTTGGATCAATCTTATAAACACGATGAGCAGATTGCCATGAAACTACTGACCTACGAACTGAAGAACTGGAGCAATTCTACCTGCCTGAAATTGGCTGTGGCAGCTAAACACAGGGACTTCATTGCTCACACGTGCAGCCAGATGCTCTTAACAGATATGTGGATGGGGCGACTACGCATGCGGAAAAACCCAGGCCTTAAGGTATTTCTCCTCTGCAGTTGTTTCCAATGATCTAGTTCCTTGCCTGTATCTCTACGTTACACATAGTGTGTGCAGAGAATAAACGGGCTCACTAATTATGGATGTTTGAAGAAAATGCCCATTTCCAAATTCAGGCTATCTAAGGTGCATCACTCTATGACAAAGGAAAATCCAAATCCGTGAAGGGCTTAGCATGATGGGAATCTGAGAGTGAGGCTGTGGCCTTCAATGGATGATGAGATCTGTTCCTTGAAAACATACACCTGTGATTAAAAATTAGTTGGATACAAGCAAAAAGATCTCCATTCGAGGTTCACACAATGGGAACAGAGGGAAGATGAGCCTCGCTTACTCTTGTACCAGAAGACAGAGTCGAGACTTAGCATTGGAAAATGTGAAAGCTGTGCAATTGCAATGTATGAAACTGTGAGTTTTATTTCCCCGTTCTGTGATTTGATGGCATGGCCTCTCCTGATCTTTTTGTTTCCTAATTGTTGGAGCAATGTGAGCAGGCTGGCACAAAAGAGAGACACGAGTGAGCCGACGTTACGGAAGCAGAGCCGTGTTTGCCTGTGTGTGTTTGGCTGTGAATGTAATCCTTCCTTTGTTACGCTCTGCAGCTGCTGTCACCCGTAGGAAGCCCCATTGTGCTGGTGCCACCTTCAGCCTCACCTCCTTCAATGCCCCATTGCTGACTAAATGCCGTGCCTGTCTTCCCAGGTCATCCTCCCAAGCTTGCTGACACACACAGCACACTCCCTCTGTCATTCTTGATTTATTTCCACTTTGCCATGTCTCCCTCTTAAACCTGTTTAAAACCTTCAGTCAAGTGTCCCGCCTTGCAGATTGCGTCATGGTGCTTTCCAGATCTGTTTATTGATTTCCTTTCTTCTCTGCAAAGGATTAAGCGCCCTGCTAATGTTCTAGTTTCAGTGCCTGCATTCTTTTCTTTGCTCCTTTTCTGTATTTTGACAACTCCTTTTGCGTTTCTGTCTCAGCAATTTCATATAGTAAAAGACCTCTCCCAGTGCTATCTGCAAAGCTTCTCTTACCTTTCACGAGTTTCTTAACCATTAATTAAGGTGTCTAAAGTAACTCTGAACTCCAGTAACGAACCTGAAGCCCTCTTTCAGCCACCACTGTGTCCATTCCATGGAATTTCTCTGCACAACTCCAAATTCTGGAGCGCAGTTTCTTCATTATGGTATTTGCGGAGATGGGACTTTCCATACAAGACTTTATGGCTAACACTTCATAAGTACTACCCGGGTGGTTTTGTAGGTTTGAATGTACCAGAGTATCTTGAATACTGTACAAAAGAGAATAGTGTTTTTGTAGTTTGCCTTGTTATGAAAATTTTTTTTTGTTATGAAATTATTTATTGTAAATAAATATTGCCATCTGAGTTGATTTTTTTCTTGTTTTACAGGTTATAATGGGGATTCTCTTCCCTCCCACCATCCTTTTCCTAGAGTTTCGGAGTCATGATGATTATTCTTACCAGACATCCAGAGAAAATGAGGAAAGCAGAGAAAAGGAGGAGGAAAACGCGGTCAGTAATAGAGATTGCTGGGAAGTATTAATATCTTAGGGGTGCTCGGCTTTCTGACTTACCTGATTATGCTATAGGGCACTCAGGTTAAAAACCCAACTGCCTCTGTTGGAGAAAAATCAGTGAAGAGTTTGGGCTGGATTCTCAGGATGTGTAAATTATCTGTGTAGTCGCACAGATTTATGGAATTTGTATTTTTAAAAAGAGGTCTGTTGCTCAGAGGAAGCGTTGTGGAGTTAACAACCGGCTAGGGCTGTAGCTGAGGAAAACCTACTACTTTTACTATTGTATATTGGTGAAAACTGACAACTTTGGTCTTCCAGGATGCCAATGCGGATACAGGCTCCCGAAAAGGAGATGAAGAGAACGGGAAAAAAAAACAGAAGAGCCTTCCAATCGGAACAAAGATCTATGAATTTTATAATGCGCCTATTGTCAAATTTTGGTTCTACACAGTAAGTCATGATGATTAAACCAATAGTGATTGCTTTTTCTCACACCTGTGAAACTTGAAGGATTCTAATGTATAAAATAATAACCAAGTAATAAATAAATAGGTAGTATTGACTTGCCATTTGCTCTGTCGTCAGTTAGGCTCACAGGAGTGCTACCTAGATGGAAGCACAGATCCCAGACTGCTAAGACTTCATCAGTATTTGTCTCAGATTTAAATAATTAAAACCAGTCTAAACAAAAAGATTTATCTTTGACAAGCATCTGATTTTTTCTTTCATGCATCAAGAATAATCTGGTGCTAAACTCTGTTCTAAGAAAACGTAAAAATTATTCATGCTGTTGCTCATAAATTTTGTGTGTGACTGTCAAGGGTAAGGGCACTGCCCCTATGAAAAAGGCACTGATTTCTTCTTTATTCAAAGTTAAGACTTCCGATATCCAGTATGTCGTCAGGTTATGTAGGTTTTTAGTTTTAGCATGTTGTAATCACAAAACACTGCACTGATCCCTTTCTGCTGCCTATATTAATAATTTAAAAGCAAAATTCCTATTTAATTCCTAAGAAAAGTATTCGACATAGTTTCAACAGTGTAAAGAAATCACATTTTAGGAGATTAAAAAAAAACACAACCAAATAGGCACAAAGGGCCTGATTGAGAGTACTTTGGAATTATTGTTTTGCTTCTCTCACCAAATGAGGTAATTCAGCTGCTGGGATCATATGTTCCACAGCGTCTGTCATCCTGTAGCTGCTGGAGGCCTGTGGCCTCTGCCGGTGTGCCTGGCAGCTGTAGGAAGGGCGTTGCGACGGGCTCGCTTCCTCCGGGCGAGAAAATCTTCTTTTTTGTGCGAGTAAGGGTCTTCAGCACCGGGATCTTTCACGCATAGCCTCTGTGTATGTGTTCATGAACGGCACTGTTAGGGCAGGTGACGCTTTCATGCACCGTGTGGGCGCCTCAGCTGAGAGGATTTTACTGCTTTCTGCTTGGTGTTTCTTCTCAGACACTGGGTGCAGCCTTCTGTGCTCTTACTGACTTAGGCTTCAGCAAGAAACTTGCTCCTTAGGCTAGGGGCCACTTCAAAGAACGGAAATACCTGCAAACCTGCTGTTCCTGTGGGTGGGTTTAAGTATAGGAAGAGGCATAGGGACCGGTACGTGAAGTCTCTGTGCCTCTGCCGTAACATAAAGGGAATGTTCTGCCTAGATGGAGGAGGCCACCAAGCTGACCCAGGGGCTGGAGCAGCTCTGCTGCGAGGACAGGCTGCGGGAGCTGGGGTTGTTCATCGGGGGAAGAGAAGACTCCGGGGGGACCTTATCCCTGCTGCAGTGCCTGAAGGGACCTACAGGGAGGCTGGGGAGGGACTTTGCACAGAGTGTCCAGCGACAGGACAAGGGGAAATGGGTTTAAATGGAAGGAGAACGGGTTTAGATTGGATCTGAGGAGGAAATTCTTCAGTGCGAGGGAGGCCAGACTCTGGAACAGGTTGCCCAGAGAGGCTGTGGCTGCCCCCTCCCTGGAGATGTTCAAGGCCGGGTTGGATGAGCCTGGAGCAACCTGGGCGGTTGAGAGGCGGCCCTGCCCATGGCAGGGGTTGGGTCAGATCATCTCCAAGGTCCCTCCCAACCTTGGCTGTTCTGTGATTCTATGATGGTCTCAACCACTTCATTACAAGGTGGAGAAAAGCAAGTGGCCCGTATGGCTCTTTATTTCCCCTACCCCTCCAGGCTCACAGCCCTGCCTCCCCATTCCACTTTAGACCTGTTTTGAAATGATGGGTAAGCATTTCACATTGTATATCTCATTCTATAGAAAACTCCATTTTCTCCCTGGAAAATCTTTTCATTTATTACTGCTTTGTTCCCTT